TTATATGTGTATTATATCGTGTCTGTCTTTTTCAGTCTTAAATTGAGACGATTCTAGACTTTCCCAAACCAGTCCTAAACTCTGTGCATCTACTCCGGTGAAATTGATCAATTAGATAAATTCGCAAAATTATCAGACAAAAAGAAAAAAGGCTAACTTTATATAATTATCTTTCCTTTTGATACAAAAAGTAAAAAAAAAAAGATTTTGAAAGATCTATAGATATTAAGGAAATAAGTGAACACAATACGAGGGTCATTCAATAAATAAGGTGAATTTTTCGGTATAAGGACTTCTAATACAGATAGAAGCTTACTTTTTTTATTTTTCAACGTCGTCTCTCAGCACTGTCACACACTTTTCCCATCTATGAACAAGCTTCCGTATTCCCTCAGTGTAAAAATCTTTGAACTGATGTCTCAGCCAGTCGCTCACAATACTTTTGACTTCATCGTCACTTTTAAACTTCGTGCCTCTCGTGAACGCTTTCAAGGGACCAAACAGGCCTCAGCATTTCCCAGTAGTTCTTTTGTCAGATTGAATGAGGTCATTGACTGATTTGATCACCTCAGGAGACCTCACTTCTGTAGGCCTCCTAAGCCTGTCTTCATCCTCAACACTACTCCGTCCTTCTTTAAACAATTTAGCCCACTTGTATACATATTTTTGGCTGAAACATGTGGCACCATACACAGTTGACATTCTCCTATGAATTTCAACTGGTTTGCACCCTTCAGCAACCAAAAACTTGATAACTGACCGCTGTTCAATCCTGTAACATGCTTCTTGGTCGGCCGTCTTTGTTAAACGCCAAAACTCTCAAAGGTTTTTTTAATCTGCAAAAGAAATTAAATCCATGTGAAAAAGGAGTAAAACAAAAAAATAAAAAATAATAAAAAAGTAAGTTTCTATCTGTATTAGAAGTCCTTATACCAAAAAAATTCACCTTATTTATTGAATGACCCTCGTAGATTTAAACCAGACAACTAATGTTTAATCCATAAGGAGAGACGTCTCATTGCAGATAAAGAGAAAGTCACTCCTCTTCTTCACTTTAGTGCTGAGTGGAAATCACACAACAAGTCTAGCATCGCTTAACGGATGGAACTCTTATTTCGTCAGAGTACATTATTTTATTATCCATACGAAATCATATTAAATTCAATATACAGGGGTTGGACAAAATAATTGGAACAGTTGCAAAACCCACTCCTATATTCCAAAGACCTATTATATTAAGAACTTTAACCAAAACTTCGTAACTGCAGGTTATATCTATTTAGTAAAATTTAAGCTAAATGCGTGACCTCTCCGAGTTCGAAAAAGGGCAAATTGTTGGAGCACCCATGACAGTATCCTCGATCACTAAGGTTGCTGAACTGTTTGATTTTTCAGGAGCTACCATATCAACAACACCGATGCAATTCGAGAAACAGGGCAAGACCTCTGGCAACCGTAGCAATTCGGGCCGGACTTACTGACGTGCATTGAAACGCACTGTGGAAAAAAAATCATCGGCCTACTGTGGCCAAAGTAACTGCTGAGTTGAATAATCATCTGAATAGTCCAATTTCTACTAAAACTGTTCGTCGTGAGCTTCATAAGGCTGGAAAATCATGAAAGTTGCCGTAAGGAAACCTCTTCTCTCCACTCGCAACATTCAGAAGAGGTTGAAGTGGTGCCTGGTCTGCAGACCAATGGAAGCCAAGCATATTCTCAGACGAGTCCAGTTTTTCTCTTTTCCCAACTTCAGGGCGAATTTATGTGTGGAGGCAGCCCAAAGAAGCTTACAACCCTGACTGCCTTCTTCCAACACTGAAGCTAGGACGTGGATCTGTGATAGTTTGGGCCGTCATATCATGGAAATGTCTCGCTTCAGTAGTTGCCCAGCATGGTAAAATCAACAGCAAAGATTACCTGAACATTTTGAGAGATCATGTTCATCCAATGGCCAAGACTTTATTCCCTGATGGTGACTGCATCTTCCAAGACGATAATTCTCCAATACATACCGCTCGAGTGGTTAAGAATTGGTATGAAGAGCATGAAAGTGAGCTAGAACACATGGAGTGGCCTCCCCAATCTCCAGATATCAATATTATTGAACATTTGTGGTGTATTTTGGAGCAACAAGTTAGGAGCCGCTATCCTCTACTGTCATGTCGTAAAGAACTGGAGAAGGTTTTAATGGAAGAATGACTGAAAATTCCTCTGGATTAAGCCAGGAAGCTGTATGATTCCATTCCAAGACGTATTAAAGCTGTCTGTGAGGCTAAAGAAGAACCAACTCCATATTAAATAAATTTTCTTTGAATTTAACAAGTGTTTCAATTATTTTGTTCAACCCCTGTATTTTAAAGGTGGTTTTGGAATCATTTTGCTTAATATTTTTTACGGGTTATCAACACTTAGTGGGTTATTTAAACATATTTGGGATTGCAAGAATAATTTTTTTTTTTGTGAGTTAATATTAACATATTTTGGGGGGAACAATAATGATTTTTCCAGATACAAATTCTACTATTTGACTACGACTACTAGCTGGGGTGGGGAGATAAAACTTTTCTCAATGGTATTTGCTCGTAAGTGAATGTATCAAACCCGATTGGAAATCGAAATCGGCTCACCGATTTCTCATTCCGACCACTATCCATTACACCGCCCGCACACCCACGGTCGTTTCGGAAAGTGCTCCGATAATAGCTAGAAGTACGTTCATTCTAAAGAACATTACGATTACCACTGCTACTGTTCTGTGGTGTTTGGATTGTTGGCGGGATTTCAAATACTTCCACTGCAGCGTGGTCAGATTTCGCTAAATGGGTCACCTTCAAGGTGTGTAATTACAGACTCGAGTATAATCTCTATCAATTGTCTATCTTTTTGACTCAGTTGTAAGCCGTAATTATAAGTCTGTCATTTTGATTCTCATGTAAACGAGATCTATGTCATCCTATCTGCTAATGCAATGTGCTTTTTCCTATAATACTTGTGTTCGACGTTAAATAGTACAACAGGGTTGATATATCCTAATTATTAAATAAATATATTATGAGGTATCACGGCAAGAGTTTTTAGATATGGTTTAAATAGCAGAGAAGCCTGGGTTCTTTTACTGTGGTCTGGCGAGGAGAAGGTAAATTGAATTCAAAACCAGCCTCCGTCAGCCCTATACATACTACCGCACATGTCCTGCCCCTACGGAACTCTTATGAACTGACATTTCACTTGTAATGTTGTTTTCATCCAATATTTGACAAGTTGTTAATTTTGGCTTTGATACTGATTACTTAACTTGATTTAATTTGTTTTGTTTAATTTCTAAGTTCGATCTTTTATATTTTCAAATAAAAAGAGTGACAAATTACAATCACTCTTTCTCTACCATTCTCTTTTTCATTATTCTTTCTTTCTTTCTTTCTTTCTTTCTTTCTTTCTTTCTTTAAGCCTTCTATAATTCCGTTGTCTTTCTTTCTTTCTTTCTTTCTTTTGCGTTCATCATTTTCCCTTATACACCATTTTCTTTCTTTCTTTCTTTCTTTCTTTCTTTCTTTCTTTCTTTCTTTCTTTCTTTCTTCTCTTCGAATCCTTTGAAGTGTACAATCTCATAATTGCTTCTTTCTTTCTTTCTTTCTTTCTTTTTCTTTCTTTCTTTCTTTCTTTTCTTTCTCTTCTCGTCCATAATTTTTCCTTATTCTCCTTTTCCTTCCTTCCTTCCTTCCTTCCTTCCTTCCTTCCTTCCTTCCTTTTCCATTCATCGTCTTTATTTTCCCTTTTCTTTCTTTCTTTCTTTCTTTCTTTCTTTCTTTCTTTCTTTCTTTCTTTCTTTCTTATTCCCTTCCAACCCTTCGAAGTGTACACATTTCATAATTGCTTGTGTAATCAGTTAATTACAATACGTCGGTAACAAATCAGAGAAACTAAAGAAAATGGTCAATCAGAACGACGAGGAAACTGATTGGGAACGGTGATGAAATTACTATAAATAACTTGCGAGATTGGTATGGTAATTATTGCTCTAGGACTGTCAGTTACTCCCTATCGTTGTGAGACACATGACATATGGCCATAACCATGGAACATCACGTGATGATTAAAGATGAAGACTTAGATTAAGAATATAGCGTTCAAGGTAACATCTACGCAGAATCTTATTCGTCAAAGCAGTGGATCTTGGGAAAATGCTGTCCGAGTAGAATTGCCTTCTTGCAATTAGAACATGGAGGGAATAATTGTGCTTAGATTCTGTCTCCTTGGACTTAGCATAGCAGGTCTTAGCTGGAAAGGTCTGAACTGGTGGAACTAAAGAATGTATTTCGTCCAAAAATTTGCCATGGAAAAAGCGATGGGCTTATGACGTTGAGGAAGAGGCTGCTGATGAGCAAGGTACAGATTCAATGTTTTCTTGTTGGTGCCCACATGATAGAAAACTGCAGGAAAATTTCAGACAGTAAACGGAGAGATGGGATGAGATAGAGGGTTTTCCTGGTAATACATGACTGAGAATTTTATAGTCACAGTCATTACTTAAGTATTTGGTAGACACCATTGTAGACCAGCAATGGCTGCAGCAATTGATGATAAATCTACTTGAAAACGTCTATACGAGTTCGAATTCCTCACATTCAGTTACCCACAAATATCGTAAGGAAAGGTATGAATTCATCTTCTCCTCCAAGATATGGGTTAAATAGTAGGACTTGTATGAGAAAAAATCATTGTTAACTCGCCAAAAAACAAAAAAAAAAAATTCTAACAATTCCAAATATTGTTCGACTTTAAATAGCAGACAAAATGGTCATAAGCCGTAAAAAACAAATCAATCGCTTCCTGACAGTTTTAAAGATTATGACAGCGTTTAAGTGAAAATCGTTTTCTGATCGAATTCTTGAGATGAGGAGTTATTATCATTTACATTATTTACAATCTCTGTCGTTTTTTTCTTTCTTTCTTTCTTTCTTTTTTCATTATTTTCCCTCCACTTTTATTTTCTTTCTTTCTTTCTGATGTGGGGCCAAAGTTGGGACCACAGAAGAAAAACACGGAACACGGATTAGATGTAAAAGAGATATATTGACAACAGGTTATAGAGATAGTTTAAGCGGAGCTTACTATATGTTAGTGTCCAATACTGGTAGTCGTACGCGGCTCTCACTATCTCTGTCTAGAGTGTTGTGTCGCATATTTAATATAGACCTGGAAGAGTCTATTGTGTAGGTAGTTCCGGTCTCACAATACTTTCTTTCTTTTTTTCTTTCTTTCTTTTCTCTCTTCTCCCATTTTCTTTCTTTCTTTCTTTCTATTCTCATTCATTTTTCATTATCTTCTATACTCTTTCATCTTCATTCTTTCTTTCTATCCTTTTTCATTATTTTCTATCCTCTTTCATATTCCTTCTTCCTTTCTTCGTTTCTTTGTTTCTTTCTTTCCTCTTTCATTTTCATTCATTCTTTTTCATTATTTTCACTCCTCTTTCATTTTCTTTCTTTCTTTCTTTTTCATTATTTTCTCTCCTCTTTCATTTTCTTTCTTTCTTTCTTTTTCATTATTTTCTCTCCTCTTTCATTTTCTTTCTTTCTTTCTTTTTCATTATTTTCTCTCCTCTTTCATTTTCTTTCTTTCTTTCTTTTTCATTATTTTCTCTCCTCTTTCATTTTCTTTCTTTCTTTCTTTTCATTATTTTCTCTCCTCTTTTTCATTTTTCTTTCTTTCTTTCTTTTTCATTATTTTCTCTCCTCTTTCATTTTCTTTCTTTCTTTCTTTTCATTATTTTCTCTCTTTTCATTTTCTTTCTTTCTTTCTTTTTTTATTTTCTCCTCTTTCATTTTCTTTCTTTCTTTCTTTTTCATTATTTTCTCTCCTTTTCATTTTCTTTCTTTTTTCTTTTTTCATTATTTTCTCCTCTTTCATTTTCTTTCTTTCTTTCTTTTTCATTATTTTCTCTCCTCTTTCATTTTTTCTTTCTTTCTTTCTTTTCATTATTTTCTCTCCTCTTTCATTTTCTTTCCTTTTCTTTTTCATTATTTTCTCTCCTCTTTCATTTTCTTTCTTTCTTTCTTTTTCATTATTTTCTCTCCTCTTTCATTTTCTTTCTTTCTTTCTTTCTTTTTTCATTATTTTTCTCTCCTCTTCATTTTCTTTCTTTCTTTCTTTTTCATTATTTTCTCTCCTCTTTCATTTTCTTTCTTTCTTTTTCATTATTTTCTCTCCTCTTTCATTTTCTTTCTTTTCTTTTTCATTATTTTCTCTCCTCTTTCATTTTCTTTCTTTCCTTATTTTTCATTATTTTCTCTCCTCTTCATTTTTTTCTTTCTTTCTTTCTTTTCATTATTTTTCTCTCTTTTCATTTTTCTTTCTTTCTTTCTTTTTCATTATTTTCTCTCCTCTTTCATTTTCTTTCGTTCTTTTTCTTTTTCATTTATTTTCTCTCCTCTTTCATTTTCTTTCTTTCTTTCTTTTCATTATTTTCTCTCCTCTTGCATTTTCTTTTTTTTTCTTTCTTTCTTTTTCATTATTTTCTCTCCTTTTCATTTTTCTTTCTTTTCTTTCTTTTTCATTATTTTCTCTCCTTTTCATTTTCTTTCTTTCTTTCTTTTTTATTATTTTCTCCTCTTTCATTTTCTTTCTTTCTTTCTTTTTCATTATTTTCTCTCCTCTTTCATTTTCTTTCTTTCTTTCTGTTTCATTATTTTCTCTCCTCTTTCATTTTCTTTCTTTCTTTTTCATTATTTTCTCTCCTCTTTCATTTTCTTTCTTTCTTTCTTTTTCATTATTTTCTCTCCTCCTTCATTTTCTTTCTTTCTTTCTTTTTCATTATTTTCTCTCCTCTTTCATTTTCTTTCTTTCTTTCTTTTTCATTATTTTCTCTCCTCTTTCATTTTCTTTCCTTCTTTCTTTTTTATTATTTTCTTTCCTCTTTCATTTTATTTCTTTCTTTCTTTCTTTTTCATTATTTTCTTTCCTCTTTCATTTTCTTTCTTTCTTTCTTTCTTTCTTTCTTTTTCATTATTTTCTTTCCTCTTCCATTTTATTTATTTCTTTCTTTCTTTCTTTTTCATTATTTTCTCTCCTCTTTCATTTCCTTTCTTTCTTTTTTTCTTTCTTTCTTTTTCATTATTTTCTCTCCACTTTCATTTTCTTTCTTTCTTTCTTTTTCATCATTTTCTCTCCTCTTTCATTTTCTTTCTTTCTTTCTTTTTCATTATTTTCTCTCCTCTTTCATTTTCTTTCTTTCATTCTTTCTTTCTTTTTCATTATTTCTCTCCTCTTTTAATTTCTTTCTTTCTTTCTTTTTCATTAATTTCTCTCCTCTTTCATTTTCTTTCTTTCTTTCTCTCTTTTTTTCATGATTTTATCTCCGCTTTCATTTCATTCATTTATTCTTTCTTTCTTTCTTTCTTTCTTTCTCTCTTTTTTTTTCATGATTTTATCTCCGCTTTCATTTCATTCATTTATTCTTTTCTTCTTTCTTTCTTTTTTCTTTCTCTCTTTTTTTCATGATTTTATCTCCGCTTTCATTTCATTCATTTATTCTTTCTTTCTTTCTTTCTTTCTTTCTTTCTTTCTTTTTTTCATGATTTTATCTCCGCTTTCATTTCATTCATTTATTCTTTCTTTCTTTCTTTCTTTCTTTCTTTCTTTCTTTTTTTCATGATTTTATCTCCGCTTTCATTTCATTCATTTATTCTTTCTTTCTTTCTTTTTTCTTTCTTTCTTTCTTTCTTTTCATGATTTTATCTCCGCTTTCATTTCATTCATTTATTCTTTCTTTCTTTCTTTCTTTCTTTCTTTCTTTCTTTCTTTCTTTTTTTCATGATTTTATCTCCGCTTTCATTTCATTCATTTATTTTTCTTTCTTTCTTTCTTTCTTTCTTTCTTTTTTTCATGATTTTATCTCCGCTTTCATTTCATTCATTTATTCTTTCTTTTTTCTTTCTTTCTTTCTTTCTTTCTTTCTTTTCTTTCTTTTTTCATGATTTTATCTCCGCTTTCATTTCATTCATTTATTCTTTCTTTCTTTCTTTCTTTCTTTCTTTCTTTTTTTTTTTTCATGATTTTATCTCCTTTCATTTCATTCATTTATTCTTTTCTTTCTTTCTTTCTTTCTTTCTTTCTCTTTTTTCATGATTTTATCTCCGCTTTCATTTCATTCATTTATTCTTTCTTTTCTTTCTTTCTTTCTTTCTTTCTTTCTCTTTTTTTTCATGATTTTATCTCCGCTTTCATTTCATTCATTTATTCTTTCTTTCTTTCTTTCTTTCTTTTTTTTCATGATTTTATCTCCGCTTTCATTTCATTCATTTATTCTTTCTTTTTTTTCTTTCTTTCTTTCTTTCTCTCTTTTTTTTCATGATTTTATCTCCGCTTTCATTTCATTCATTTTATTCTTTCTTTCTTTTTCTTTCTTTTCTTTCTCTCTTTTTTTCATGATTTTATCTCCGCTTTCATTTCATTCATTTATTTCTTTCTTTCTTTCTTTCTTTCTTTCTTTCTTTCTTTCTTTTTTTTTCATGATTTTATCTCCGCTTTCATTTCATTCATTTATTCTTTTCTTTCTTTCTTTCTTTTTCTTTCTTTCTTTCTTTCATGATTTTATCTCCGCTTTCATTTCATTCATTTATTCTTTCTTTCTTTCTTTCTTTCTTTCTTTTCTTTCTTTCTTTCTCTCTTTTTTCATGATTTTATCTCCGCTTTCATTTCATTTCATTTATTCTTTCTTTCTTTCTTTCTTTTCTTTCTTTCTTTCTTTCTTTTTTTCATGATTTTATCTCCGCTTTCATTTTCATTCATTTTATTCTTTCTTTCTTTCTTTCTTTTTTTTTTCTCTCTTTTTTTTTTGTTTTTTATCTCCGCTTTCATTTCATTCATTTATTCTTTCTTTCTTTCTTTCTTTCTTTCTTTCTCTCTTTTTTTCATGATTTTATCTCCGCTTTCATTTCATTCATTTATTCTTTCTTTCTTTCTTTCTTTCTTTCTTTCTCTCTTTTTTTCATGATTTTATCTCCGCTTTCATTTCATTCATTTATTCTTTCTTTCTTTCTTTCTTTCTCTTCTCTTTTATTCTTTTGTTGGAAAAAATGCAGATTTTATCGATTTCTGTCAGGCTTTGAATTTTAAGATTGAAAGTACTGTTGTTTTCTAAGGTTCGCACAAGTCCACAAGTAATGGTCAACCACTGAAGAATATACTAAGTTATAACGGTAAAGCAGACGAGCACGTTAAGCATTATGACATTGTCACTAAATCATATATAGCTTAAACTGGTATTTGGGCGACTGCGGTCGTTATTCCGTGACCGGTTGTCTCCACAGCTATCTTCAGATCAATACACCTAAGTCGCACGGTTTCTGTTTCTTATTGGAAGCCAAATCATCCGTCTTTTGACAGAGAGAAATGTTGTCGTAATTTTCATTAGGAGAAAGGTGGTAGCAATAAATAAGCACAACGCATATGGTGCATATTGGCTACTTTTATTGTTGCCGAGTATAAAAATTTTGCCGATTACTTGTCAGTGAAGGAAAGGGTGTAGGGAATGAGAAAACCGCTCTATATTAGCATCTTGCAGACTTAAGAATTTTTACTGGGAAATCTCACTAGCTTTTAATTCATTAATTCTCAGGTTAATGAAATGGTATCTTCACATCTTGTTACTTTACCCTATTTGTGACCGTCAAATATATCGTATTTCAGAAAGACGGCATACTTCTAACAACCTGTGTGGCTGTTTATTAGTAAGGACATGGTTTTGCTTCTCACCGCTTGAATTATTCTCTTTTATTTTACACACGCAATATTACACCATTATTTCCCGCAGAGATGCTCCAAAATATTTACTAAGCTTAGTTGGACAAAAGATACTTGTAGGAGGGTAACCACACGAGATGAAAATCATCACTGTATTAATTATCAACCTGTTGAGTGTGGTAATCAATAAACCACACAGAGATGTTTCTTTATCGACGATTGTGTTGCTTACAAAGAACTTAGCCAATGCGGAAAAACGCATTTGCTGAATGCACTTGTCTTTGAGTTAGGGTGGCAAATTGTCGTACACGTGTGCATACCTATCGAATATAGAGAATCGACATAAAATAAACTGGTCAGTCTAAATGAGTAAATTGGTTATTGGCGTACATCTCACTATCTTTTTGATATTTTATGGTTTTAAGTAGAATTTGGTGATAGAGATCTGTGGTGAAGTTAGTATGTTCTGGTTAGGTTGCTTGCTGATGAAATCATAATGGAATTCTGACTGAAGGTGAATTTTTGAAGAAGAAGAAGAAGAAGAAGAAGAAGAAGAAGAAGAAGAAAAGAAGAAGAAGAAGAAGAAGAAAGGAAGGAAGCAAACTACAATAGAAGGATGAGGAAAGAAGAAGAAAAGAAAAAGAGAAATGCAGGGGAATTGAACGAGAGACAAGAAGAAGAAGAAGAAGAAGAAGAAGAAGAAGAAGAAGAAGAAGAAGAAGAAGAAGAAGAAAGGAAGGAAGGAAGCAAACTACAATGGAAGGATGAGGAAAGAAGAAGAAAAGAAAAAGAAATGCAGGGGAATTGAACGAGAGACAAGAAGAAGAAGAAGAAGAAGAAGAAGAAGAAGAAGAAGAAGAAGAAGAAGAAGAAAGGAAGGAAGCAAACTACAATGGAAGGATGAGGAAAGAAGAAGAAAAGAAAAAGAAATGCAGGGGAATTGAACGAGAGACAAGGAAAAGAAGAAGAAGAAGAAGAAAGGAAGGAAGCAAACTACAATGGAAGGATGAGGAAAGAAGAAGAAAAGAAAAAAGAGAAATGCAAAGGAATCTAACGAGTGACAAGAAGAAGAAGAAGAGGAGGAGAAGAAATGGAAGAAGAAGAAGATGAAAGAGTGGATAAAATATCCGGAAAGAAGAAGGAAGAAAGAATGAAAAAAGATGAAATGATATGTCACTCACGGATAGTTGACTCAAGAAGAAGGCGAAGAAAAAGAGGAGGAAGAATAAGAGGAAGAAAAAGATGAAAGAGTGGATAATATATCCTGAAAGAAGAAAGAAGAAGAATGAAAAAAGATATGACACTAACCGATAGTTGACTCAAGAAGAAGAAGAAGAAGAAGAAGAAGAAAAAGAAGAAGAGGAGGAGGAGGAGGAGGAGGAAGGAGAAGAAATGGAAGAGGAGATGAAAGAGGGGATAAAATATCCGGGAAGAAGTAGGAAGAACGAAGGAAAAAAAAGTTATGTCGAAGAAAATGAAAGAGTGGCTAAAACACCGGGAAAGAAGAAGGAAGAGCAAATGAAAAAAGATATGCCACTCCCGCTAGTTGACTCATGAACATTTGTTATCGACCTTTGACTAAAATTTACAGATTTGATTCTAGGTTTAAAGAGAATTTTTTTTAATGATACATTTAAAGAAATCATTAAACTATGTCTATGTACACGCGGGTGTAGTTTATCGTCTGAGGACTGAAGGAAGACGGAACAAAAAGACACTCGTACATAGAATCAGCTAGAGACAACACGAATTTCTTGGACACACAATGAGGCAAATGGGCTTGGAGAATTTAACATTCAAAAGGATATACTAAAGACAAGATGGTCAGAGTGACATATCGAGTAACCTACCAAACGAGGTCGTGTAACTGGATAGCAGAACAGTATGGGGGATGGTAAAAAGGCAAACAATGTTAAAGCTTACACAGTGAATTGTAGAGGGCTATGACCATTCACAATCTAAAGGGAGACGGTATATTGGATATATATATATATATATATATATATATATATATATGCTAGACGATGTTAATTTTAGCATATAACATCAGTTGATACTTGCTGAGAGAGATGGCTAGCCAGCTAGATTCCAAGGCCATTGTTTTCATGCTAGAAATTACTGAACAAAAATATCGATCTTCCTATATCGCAGTGAATGCTGGACAATTTTCCACATGGATGAAAAGAAGACTTGAGGCAACAATAACGTAGTTCTGCAGAAAGATTCTGAGAATACCATAGAAAGAACATGTGAACAACGAGGAAGATTCAAATACCCCCCCAAAAAAAAAAAAACAGTTTTAATTAGAATCAAAAAGAGTTGAAAAGTCTGGGACATGTATCGAGGAAAGATGGCATGCAGAATTTGATACTCACAAGACGTATTGAAGAGTAAGAGGTACAAAGGGAAACATTGAGTAACCCTGCTAACTAGCTTAGATCCTTGTTTGGTAGGTTACCCGATGTTTTACTCCGACACTCTTGCTCTCCAATATGTCACCTGCGTGTAAAATTCTCCAAGCCCACTTTCCTCAATATATGTCCCAGACTTTTCAACTCTTTCTGATTGTAACAATAGAGACAGGGAGCAATAGTAAAGAAAAGAAAACTTTGCTTCGAAATACAAATATTTAGGAAGTTGTGGAGAGCCACGATCGCCCAGGTCATAAAAAGGCACGGCACATTTAAAAAAAGAAGAAAAAAGTCCATTTTCCTTACTGATACAGTATTTCGAGTATGCAAGAAATATAGAAAAAA